ACATTAGCGTGGGACGCAAGTACATATATGTGGGTGCTTGTTAGAGAACAAGTTCACTGAACATGACCGTATGAAAATTCTTAATGAAGAATTATTTTAGTTAATTATTCTGTCGAATAAGAATTTTCATGTTACAATAGTACATGACTAATCCTTAGACTTGAGGCACAATGGTAACTTTGTGCATATTACGTTCTACTTTGATTTATCCTTTTGGTTGCTAGCACAATCGTATAAAGGGATATTTTGGGTATTATGTTAATATGTATGGAAGTTTGTTAGTGGCCAACAAAGGATTCGACACGTATGAAGATACGAGAATTTCCTATGTATTTCATAGTTAGTAATTCAAAGTCCTTGGCCAAGGCAGGATGAATAGAGATTCACACATGAATTACTAAACATGAAATAGAATCATAGTTATTAAATCAATTTGGGTTTCGACTAAAATCATACCCAAGATTTAATCGGGAAATTAGATGTCGAAAGGATTTTACATGTATGGACTTGTAATTGAAATAGGTTTACTCGCTATTCACTTAATACTAGATTCATGCTACTTGCTAGATGTTCCCATGATATGTGGGTTCTTGAATTAAGGAGTTAATTCATGAATAAGAGTTAATAAGATTAACTCAAATTACAAAGAGTTGTAAACCCACTACTAGTATTAATTGTGAACCTAAAAGGTCACACCAATTTTTGAATGAAGGTGAAATTCAAATAGTAATTCTAAAGAGTTAGAATTAATTGACAAATCTAATTTGATTAGATGTCAATTAAAGGAATATATTAAATTAATCAATTGGATTGATTAATTGAATTTTGGATATTAATTTAGTAATTAATGGAATTACTAATTAATATTTGGAATTTAAAATTAGATTTTAAATTTCAAATCCAAATAATAATATGATTATTAAATGAGGAAATGGAATAAAGGATTAAAATAATAAAGTCTTGAAAGATGCTTTCAAGAATTATTATTTTATTAAATATCTTTAATATGATTAAAGATTAAATATTAATAAGAATAAATTAATTATGGTGGTTATAAGATGCTAACTACTTAACATAATTAATCTTATTCTTATTAATTGAATATTGGGTGGGGAATAGTCTTATTCAAGACTTAATATTTTATGAAAATATTCTTGAAGACTTTTTATATTTTATGAAAATATTCTACCCAATATTATTATTTTATACTAAAATGTTTAGTATAAATATGGACATACTTGATGTTCAAATTTAATCTAAGTCTTGCAAAGTTTTCAAGAGTTGAAAAAGAGAGAAAAGAAGAAGTGTTCTTCATATTCAAAAATACAAGAAAGTGTTCTTGTATATTTCCTCAAATAAATATTCCATTCTATTGAATAAAACCGATACTTTTCTACTAGCGAAGAAAGAGGTTATCGGAACCGGATTTCAAAAGGTGGATACGTTTAGAGGGAAGACAATTGGATTCCTAAGCGAGTAACTACAACGTGTTGCTGTTACAAACCGGGAATCGATTCCCTCATTCATCGACAAGTTTGAAGGAGTTCAAGACTAAGGTAAATTTAGAATTTACTTATAACAAATCAAAATATGTATTATTACATGTTATTAAAGATGAAGATCTGTTAATTCGACATATGTATGTACGAGTAAAGTATTTAAGTGTTAAATACTTGTTTTAAAAATTTTAAATTCCGCTGCGTATAGCTCGTACGGTACAGGCGAACCCAACCGCCAGTCAGGCCTTATGGCAGTCTGGGCGAACGATCACTAGGATCAGGCAGACCTTCAAGAAGTTGGGTCGCCCAACCAACACATTTGAGCAGAGCTTGGGCAACAAGTCAAGAGTTCACTATATATAGGTATCAGGTATGGAGAGGTAAGATTACACTCTCTAAGCTTTACAATATACGTACATACCTTCTATTCTTTCATATGCCAATAACTTTTAAAAAAAAAAAATTATTAAGACTTTAAAAATTCCTTAAAAGTCTCAATTGAACACACCCCCAAATTATACAAAGCAATTGGAACAAGAGCTAGAAGGCATCAAGATCTTTCTGGAATCCTTAAAATGAGTTGGAGTATGAACATGTTATCTAGTCACTGAACTAAAGGACCTAGCTAATAAGATTAGCAGGAATTGAATTCTTTTTTCTTTTTCAAGGCAGAATCAACAATTGATTTACCGGGTTTCCAATCATTCTGAAAGACTCACAAGTTCATTGTTTTCCAAAACTACCATAAGATGTATGTGGCACGTTTAAGATAACACTTCACACCACCGTATTTGAAGTATCCATGTGTACCGTATCCATCTGTAGACCATCACAGTTGACAGGGGCTATCCATCATGCATGTCTAGCTCTACCGCAACTGAAGAATATATGTTCAGTGGTTCCAGCCTCCTCTCCACAAGCTTTGTAGATAGGATTCACTCATACTCCTTTCTTCTTTATATTATGAGCAACAGACAGTACATATGTAAAGAATTTCCATATAAAGTGTTTAAATTTTTCTTTAATCTTTGTTTTTCTTAAAGAGAAACAACCCGAAGGGTGTGGGATTAAGGTCGGATCCCCAACCTGTATAAAGTCAAAACCCTAATTGGGCCAAAGAAGTTACAGGTCTACACATGTCCAAACAACAAACGAAAACAAAAACAAAAAAAAAAAACAACAACCAAAATAAAATGTCTAAACCTGAGCTGACATGTGCCCATGCGAGCAGTATGCACCACAAAGTGGGCTAAAGTACAAAAATACAAATCGGCTATCGAAATCTGAATGAGGGGTAGCCATCCTGATCCATCCGCACAAGAGCGGGAGGCAGAGAGGGGCGTCGACCCGGGTGCAAAATGCGCCTATGAGGAGTGGAGGTGCCGAGGCTAGCCAGGTAGTCAGCGAGTCGGTTCCCCCTCGCGGAAGATGTGCGAGATCCAATAACGAACCGACTGAGGTGTAATTAAATTTTTCTTTAATCTTCATAGTCCAACTTTTAAATCTAGTGCCACAGACCCTAACAAAGGTATCACTCCCTTCATCCCTATTCAACTTCACTTTATCATAAATGAATTTGTTAACGAGCTTGAGCTTTCGCAAATCTCTGTCTAGCCAACCACTAACGCTTTCCTTAACAAACCGCCACATAAAAACTTCAACTTTTTTTCTCAAAACACCAAACAAATCCATCTTTAAGTTTAGGGTTTAGAGCCTTAATCTTCAGAATTGTTTCATACTCGACATAAAAAAAAAAAAAAGAAAAAAAATAGTTCCCTCACCCTAGTCAGCCACAGTCTATCCATGTTACTAGTGATATAGCACCCGTAATAGCTCGACGGACCGGTTAGAGTAGTTAGCTAGGTTTAACCAATCTGAGATAGCTTCGAGCTTGATAATAGGGTTTGGCCCCATCAAGGAGCTTGGTATGATTGCGCGAGGTACGGGTCGACTCTGGTTATGAGCTATCAAGCTGTGCTCATCTAGGAGCTTGCTCAGAGGAGGGGTTGTCACGACCTATAAGTCGTGTAACAGAGGTCGTGTAAGCGACCTGATAAGAAGTGAGGTGGCAGAGTCATGAGGTCGGTATGATGACCTAAGAACCTATTGAGTCTAGGTAAAGAAGGAAATAGAGGCCTACTAAGATAATAAGTGTATCTCGCTAAGGAGTAGAAGATCTCAAAGACGTGTTATACTAGGAAACGAGATACGAGAATATCTCTTTCCTAGTAATGAGGTTGCGTGGGTAAGAAGACAACTGTTGAGGCTAGGGGTGAGCACGGGACGGTACGGTTTAGAGATTGAGAAATCTCGAATCGTACCAAAATTTCGAGATCACAAAATTCGATCTCCGAAACCGTACCAAAAAATCGGTTTGGTTCGGTTCGGTTCGGAGATTTTTATTTTTCGGTTCGGTTCGATTCGGCATTCAGAACTATCGGAACAATTCGGTTTGGTTTAGATATTTGGAGATTTCTTATATTTTTTAAATTTTTTTGAATGACTACCTATGCTTTAAAAAAACAACATTCATCAATACTTCATCATATAGAAGATTTTATTTTGAAACCAACTTTAGAAGTAACTCTATTTAGGTATTTAATTTTTATGTGCTTCAAAAAAGAACCCCAACATGTATCAATACTTTCTCATATTAAATATTTTATTTTGTGATACCTGCTGCGATCAAGGTAATGCGTTAATTATATCGAATATCTGCATTATATAGGCTAAAAGTGGGCTAGTTATTTTGTTCATACCCCACAATTTACCATTTTCAAGTTGAGAAGTTGGACGTGAACACTGGATGGCTGGTAGTGGTCATTACTATTTTATGTTTAGTTTATTCCGCAGAACTATTTACAAACTCTTTATTCATCATGCTTGGTGAACTTGAGACTGAGTTTGTTTTGATTTGGCTTTTCAATTTAAGACTAACTACTTATATTCGAGTTAAAGAAAAGAAAGAATAGAAAGAGAAAGATAAGAAAGAAAGAGAAGTTTTTAAGAAATAATTTTAGTAGTTGCCAAGGAAAGAATTTTATTTGAAACAATTTTCAAATTATTTCTAAAAATCCTCATATTACATGGATGTTCTAACGTGATATCAAACATATGATCAGGTAACTGTTATAATATTAGTTTGTATTGCCTATGAATGATGATATGCAGGCACGAGCATATACAAAGGGCATGAAGGCAACATTATTCTTTTCCAGTGCAACACATAACATAAATGTAAACAAGATCTTCAAGTACATCATGGCCAAGCTCTTTAACTTGCCTTGGACAGTACACAGAAATCTCACTAAACCCATTGTTGACTTCTAATGTATGCAATTGTTGACGATTTAAGTATTCAACTTCAATGAAGCCTACGGGAATCCATAAACCATTTTTGTACGAACATGCTAAACCACAAGAAAGCTACGCTACAAAAGTCATCTAAAACAAAGCGAATTGAGGAAATAAATTAGGCCTGCTGTAAGTTCTGCTTCATAGAAAAAGAAAAAAAAAAAAAAAAAATGTAAAAGAAAAAGACAATTAGCAATTTCCATTTTCCTCCACAAAGTGCCACAATAGTTAAGAACACATGGGTTCATGTTTGGGTCGAGCTAAGTAGACCACCAATTTTAACCTACTTCGTTTCAATAATTTACAGGAGAATGGGCTGCATTCATTCTACAAGCTCAAGAACAAAACTCAGTGTAATTTACCATAGAAAAACAGAGATCAGGCAAGTATCAGTTACATTGAGGCTTCAAAAATTTGCTAATCTTGAACATACTGGAGAGATGATGCCTACCCAGACATAACATGCAAGTACTTTGGGTATTCGAAAATGTTACTTCTCACACTAATGTATTTGACCGTGACCCGATAAAAGCATCATCCAGAAGAATTCTCATGTAAGAGAACGTATTCACGGCTGCAAAGTCACAAAGAAGGAATGTTAGCTGGAAAAGACTTTCCAAAATTCAAAAGAATTCGTTCATATACTCAAATGTGGACCACTTAGCCATGGGAAGGTGAGAGAGAAGTAAAAAAATTTATTGTAAGCAGCAACAAGGTATTTTCTTATAAACTGTTGCTATAATCAAAATTATTATTGATCTATGGATACAAGAAATAAGTTTTGCCATTTAGAATCAGAAATAATGGACCACATATTGTGAATCATTACATAGAAATAACGCCACCATAAATTAGAATAAACAGATTCATGTACTGGATCTTGAAAATTTCTAAGACCAGGAACCCACACAAAGACAAATTCTATCATTGCCATAAATAACTGATTTAAATCCCCCCCACCCATTGAGAAGGAAAACTCTGACTACCGTTGTATGCATGCATTTTTTGCCCAACGGCAGATGCTTGAAGGATGCTAAATATTGTGAATCATCTAAACAACGGCAAAGAAGCAGGTGAATAACACAGATTTGATAGAGAGCAAGTATATACCACATGAAAGAATTGTCATCAAAAGCATGCATGTTACTTTACAAATTCCATGCATCCAAAACTAACATCCATGATTTTACATATCACGTACCTGCTATTACCAAACTTGATGGTATCCTTTTCAAACAGTTGATAGTACCGTTGAGGTTCTATTTTATTATCCTGCATAAGAGAATATTAAACAAGCCAAACAGTAACTAAAAACTAATGTTCAACTCCTATATGACGGCCATATAACGAAACAGGTCTAGAAAAGCAAACATTTCACTAAAATGTTTCTACAAACTGCTCACATTAATGGAGGTCCCATTTGTGCTCCCAAGATCCATCAGATAAGGCCTGATTGTACAGCAAACAATGTATCAATCACTCAGAAATAAACGAGTAAACCATCGTCAAATCATAGGTTATAAAAACATGGATGGTAAGTCACACCTCACTTGTTTTGACATGGACCCATCTTGGAGCTCTTCCTCAACTTGCCTGCAAAAATTAAACAACCCACATAATATCCAAGCAAACTAGGCACGTTACATAAGTGAACAAGAAAGATGATTAATACACATTCAAATTATTGTCAATACCGGTACTGAAGAACAGCATGTTGTTTGCTGCAAGAAGGGTGGTCTGTGGGGATGTCTGCAACCCTCCTCTCTCTACCAAAAAGATAGCAACTTTGACGATGTACATACAGAGGTTCTGCAGGTTAAAAGTTTTTTATTATGGTCAACTGCTTCCATTCGTAGTTTACCAAACTCATCAAAAATGAACAGTTGACAACTTGACATGAATTCTGCATTATTTTAATGGGGATAGATGGGAAAGATAGTTAGTAAAATTTTCAAATAATATCAACGTTACAAGTAAACAACTCAAAAGATCATTGAGCCCAAGTGAAATTTAAGCAGTGTTTTATGAGGATGGAAATAAAGGTAAGGTGCTGGCTGGCAACTTAAGCTTGAATGTGAAGCTCAATCATAGAGACTAGTTTAGCAACATCATCGTACATGTATATCCAACAAAGGCATACCATTAAGCACTTCACCACCCTTGAAAACATACAATCGCCACCTTATATCTGGCTTCCGAGCATCATGTGGCTCATTAAATAGCAGTGTTACACCTGATGAAGTGTTGAAGTTATACATCAGGAACAAAATTCTAGAACTAAATAAATAAACAGATAGAAAAGTGGAAGCATATGAGATCACAAGTTGTACAAGAGATTTCCGAAAATACTTCCAATGCCGAAGAAACAAACAGAATAAACACCTGAGCAGAGTCCATTTAACTTCTTACACACATGCCAACATTTCGAAGTTTTACCTCATAGCTATGGGTCTAGAATCTACAGGATGCTATATACTTAAGATCAGATGAAATCCAAATATTATTCTCACCAGATCACTCAGGAAAGAACACACAGTGAAAGCAGAAGGTGGTAGGCGCATTTGGCTCCACCATAAAATCAGAAATTTGGGTAGTTAGCAAATAACAATGGAACAAAAATAGTGAAGGTGAGCACCAAGAGTTAGACATAAAATAATCTTTCAAACAAAGCCTAATAATCAAAGTTTAGAAAACATCAACACTCAAGCAATCAATACATAAAGGTGAAACAAAATTTGCAAATTGAATAGACCGCACAAATTTTAATTTCACTACTAGCAAAAGATACTAATTTGTTTAATCTTGGATAAATGTCCACAAAACTAACGTAATACTATGTAACAGCTGAAGCAACAGAAAAAATTTAAATGAAAACAAAAACAATAAAAGATCCATAAAAACAAAGAAAAAAAAAACTTCATCTTAATAGGAAAAGGAAATCCCATAATACCTCTGACTCGATTTGTTTCAGCCGCAAGTTTTCCAGAAAGCTCAAAAGAAGGCTTTTGCTGCACTTAATAATGAAAACTAATGAGTGAAGACATTAGAAACCAGTGTGCAATTAACAAAGTAATGAAATTGTCTACAAGATAATGGACATTGTCTGTAACAGCTATAAGAGGATCGGAATATGAAGGAGAATAGGATATATGGAAGATTGACATAATGAGTAGTAACTTAATAACAAAAATAAAAAATAAAAAATGTACTTTTTCCTTTGCGTCCAATGTCTCCTCAACAGCCTTCATCTTAGCTATTGAATCACTATCACCGTTCCTGCTCAAGCAGCGAATGTGAAAATGTAAAATACAGCAAGAGTAAAAAGACAATAATAATGAAAGCGTGTATAACCCACTAGAATACCACGTTGAATAATAAAAAAATAAGCCAGTAAAAAGATAATTAAAAGGCTATATTTGATCAGTAAGTCAGGTCAAAACCAAATTACGGTGATTGGAAGATATTGACAGAAGTAGCTCACCGCTGCTCAGGATCCCTCGAGCTTCTACGCTGCATAAATTTAGAGAAACAATCAGTTAATGTCCTCATAGAATCTAAAGCTCTTTCCAATAAGGAGTTCAACGCAATAAAGCAGAGTACCATGCCTCATCACATGCAAAAGAAAGAGTTTCAGAGATGAACTAAACAATTAAATATTAATGGAGTTATTCCAACTTATAAGTTTGTAACACTAATGCTTAAATTTAATACGTAAAATCAATGTATGAGCAGAGGAAAACTCCATTTTCACAATAAAGTGTGTAGTAACTAATAAATGGGCTAAAAAGATTCGCACATAAAAAGAATTCATAGAAAGAATATTAAATATGACTAGATTCTATGCGGGCAATGTCAAGTTATGCTCATCTTCATGCTGCTCGAATCCTTGAATTCAAATAAATTACCAATGCATATATATTAAATTTAAACAAATATAGGAAATGCTTATAGGGAGTGGATATCACCAGACACCTCATCACGTCCTCGGCTAACAGGCGATCTTGACCTTCTTTCACCCCTGTTATGATGACCAGAAGGTGAACGCGAACGCCTGTGCCTCGACCTCAAACTATTCGAACCACTGCCAGCCTCATCCCATTCAGACCTTCTATCTTTTCTTTCAACAGCCAAATCCCTGGTTGAATCTTTTTCCTCATTCCTCTCGCCCTTCCTCATGTGGTTTCTTTCATTTTCTATCCCATTCCCTTTCACGGCAGCTCGTTCGGCCTTAACTCTCTTCAACCTTCTACTACGTGGCGAAAGAGACTGAGAATCCAGAGATTTCGACCTAGCTCTTCTTGGAGATTTGACTCGAATTGAAGATCTTCTTTTTCCAGGTGATGGGGACCTCGACTGCGCTTGTTTTGGGGATCTAGTTCGAGAAGACAGTTTCTCTTTGGCAGCTGAAGTAGGTGGTGAGGGCCTTGACCTCGGTGACCTGGTTCTATTAGAAGATCTTTGTCTAACTGGCGAACGGGAGATAGGTGGAGATCTTTGATGTTCTGGGGATTTTTCACGATTATCCCGGGCAAGCGAACGAGGTTCAGGGGACCTCGACCTAGCACGTTTTGGTGACCTATTGCGGCTCCTGTATCGAGTAGGTGACCTTTCCTTCCTGGAGGGGCTCCTTCTACGGACAGGTGATTCCGAATCGTGGCGACCCATTGAGGATAAAAAAGAATTATCTGATCTGTAGGTAAACAATCAATGTAAGAAACATATTATACATCATTAAGAAGAAAGAAAAAACACGCATGGATTTTATATAAATAATTAGAGACTTCCAGTAGCAGAAATCACTTGAAAAGACTGTACATTCTTGTCCCCAAGTTCAATAGGCATAAATAATGTCACGGTTTGGGAATTAAAACTTGAACAAGATGCACAAATCCATGGTTCCCCTTTAAAATAAATATATGTAATATAATTTAACTGTTCCAGGTCCTTTAACATCAAAAGCTTTAAACAATAACCTGAGCTACAACCTACAACTTTACAAGTAAATACATCCACAGAACAACAGGCTATTATACCGCAAGCTATATTATCGAGAAAAATTCAACAAAAAAAAAAGCTTCAGATAAAGTACTGGGGAAAATAATAGAGAAACAAACACAAATCAACAACGAATTGCAAGATCGTAGCTGAACGCAGAATCTTTGCATTATAGAATATAGAAATGCTAGAAGATACTAAGTAAAGGGATAATTATGTATGTGTACCCTCCTGCCTCGAGGTTTCATGTAATCTGTGTCAAAACAAAATGAAGATTTGTGTTCCAAAATTACAAAATTTATTTGTGTAGCTAATTTCATATTACCTCTTCCACCCTCAGTTAACAACTCAAGAAATGGAGTATCAATCAAACACATCCCAATTAAAACAGTAGAACATCCATAAGACATAATAAATAAATAGGATCTCGCCATTCAAAAGATGAATTATCCGAGGCCATGAATATTGTTTTCCCTCCATCTGCACACCTCCAATTCCAAAGTAAAATCGACAAGGAAATCCTATCGAACAAAGAATATACCCGTCCCTCAGGAAAAAAAAATAAAAATAAAAAAAAAAAAAAAGAAGAAGAAGAAGAAGAAGATTCGATCTAATTAGTAATTACTATGAAATGGTGGGAAATGAAGATAATCCCACTACTACAGTTGATATCTTTAGCCATCTGTCCGATTAAAGAAACAGTTGGGAAATTACCATTAAATCTGAAAGAGCACCGAGACGCCGAGAGTGCAACGTGCGTGAGGACTGAGGACTGAGGAGAGGCGACGGGGTCACAGGAAAAGAGAGGCGACGGGCCGTCGGCGTGAGAAGAGAGGCGACAGCCGGCGGGCGTGACAGAGAGACAGTGACTGAGAGTGAGGCAGAGTGAGGTGAGGAACGGCTGTGCCAAACACAAAAATTGTAAACCTAAACCCTAATTCCCTAATCTTATTTTTCTATATATATTATAATATATTATATATATTTTACATAAAAAAAATTAAGGTGGGCCGGGGCGGGGCTTGATAGAGGACCCGGATCTCGCCCGTTTAGTTTACGGGTCAGACCTGGCCAGGCCCGTTTTAGAAACGGCGCAAATTTAACATGCCCCAAATATTCCAGGTTAGACCGAGTCGAGTCGGGTCCAAGTCGCTTTGTCATCTCTAAACATGACAAGAATAATACAGTCACTGTAGTAATACTCCGTCATGTGTCCAATATCCACAATAAGCAAGCATTATCAATTATCACTGACAATCTTCCAATAAGCAGGCATTATTACGGACAATCTTCTTTTGTAGTTTTAACAAATTAATTGACTCACACACATTAAATAAATTGCAATTCCAAGCAACGAGCAACAGAAAAAACGAGAACGAAAACGATACTTTACACGGACCTACAGAAATTCAAAGAGGAGAAAACCAACACCTAGCTCAAAATGCCAAAGACATTTCTGACAGTGAAGATAATAAGGTTCTCCAGATGATTAGGGCTTCACTAGAAATGTAGGGACGAGAACTTATCGATTACTACATTCTTTGGCAGTTTGATTTATGTTGGACTAATGGTTGTTCGAGACCAATCAACAACCACATTTTTATGGCCCAATATATGAAATAGTAATGGGCTATACTATTGGAGCCGAAACTCTTGTTACAGGCCCATTTACATTTGTTTTGGGTTTATGTAGAAATAGAAAACAAATTTGCAATCACATCCTTCCATGTATATAGAGAAAATTACTCCCCTTACTAATGATTTGGCAAATAATATTTAAAATACAAAATGCTAAACTTTTCATCACAAATAAGATTCGAGAGATTTAATATCCCATCGCAACCTCTCTCTCTCTCTCTCTCTCTCGAACTTTTTCGCAACCACAAATGAGAAGTTCTGAATGATTGTGTGCCCTAATTTCATTCTTTCAGTTCCCATATTTAAGTAAAAAATTTGCTCCAGAGACATCTCCTCATCTCTCAATCAGAAGCTCACCGCGATTGATGCGTGGCTCGCCGGCGTAGCCTCGACAACGTTCGACTGCAATATGTGGCTCCCCACTTGGTGGCCCGCTACCGGCGGCGACGACTGAGAGATTAGGAGACATCTCCGTCCGTTCTCCTCCATCCGATTCATCAAGTACCAATCATTTCCTGCATTTTCTTTCTTTTTTTTCTTTTTCGGATTTTTTTCTCAATCCGTCAATCGGTTTTTTAGCAATGCTTTGATTCACCCGTGCAACGTCGAAGATGCATCGGGGCTCGTTGAGGAGATGAAGGGGTTACATTGGGAGTGGTCAGGTCAATCAATCCCGTTTCAGAATTGTTTGTATGTTGTTTATTTTGCTTATCGGTGATTTCTTATTCATTTGGTAATTAACCATATACCAAAATAGTTTTTATCGTATTCAAAAATCATTTAATAAATAGGATTATGTTAGAATCTTTTGATTTATCAATAACTCAACCGATTTAGTTTTTCAAAAATTGTATAGTAATTTTCCAGAATATAAAAAAATAACTATTTATCTTTGACAATAAATCAATCTTTATTGTTAATAACAAATCACGTGTTCTATTGTTTTGTTGGAATCTAGCCACATGTAGACCGAAATATACGTGAGAACACTGCAAAATATCAGTACAAAATAAATTTAGAAATCAACTACAAAAATCTTATTGATATAACTACCACAATACTAAAATAGAATTGATATCTCAACATTAAAACAAATCCCTTCAATTTTTTATTCAATTGGTAAAGAGTCATATACCAAAAATAATCTATTCAAAGAGTTCAAAAATACATTTGATTTTATCAGTAATTGCATCGGATTAGTTTTTAAGAAATTCATATTGCGATTCACAATGTCATAACAAATCTCATATAAATTAATAGATTAGAAAGAAAATTTAAAATATGTATAATATACATTAATATAAATTATAAGAAATAATAAAATAATATTGATGTAATTAAAAATTAATATTTTTTAACTTCAAAATAATATATGTTCTAGTTTTTTTTTCAATTGAGTATTGATTATAATATTTGTCACAATTTTTCAACTTTAGTATAACTTATTTAGAAATCTAAATAATATATAATAATAAGATATGAGTAAAGAAAGATATGGAGAGAGAACAATATTCTGTGCCTATAAATCTGTATCTATGTAATGGACCAATCTATTTTGCCAAAGTTGGATCAATTTTTTCGGATAAATTTGGTAATATTGTTTGTATATTCAATTATCCATTCAAACATAATATAATGAATATTTATTGATATATTCTCCCATACTATTTTGGTAGGATAAAAGAAGGCCTATATCTTCATAGATTCAGGAAAAAAAAAAAAAAATCTTTGGTTATATATTAGCATCTTTATGCATGATAAATGGTAATATGCTTATTTTTAAATCACACTAATTTAAAATTCCCAAACACTCATTGCCCTTGCTCTGACAACAAAAACTCCAAAGTTGTGCATAGAAGAAAAAAATTTAGAAATATTCTATTGCATTTTTATGCAAATAGGGGCAAGGAAGTTAACTTACATAAAGATTCAACTTAAATGATAGTATTATTATTATTTTTAAATCACACTAATTTAATTAATAATATTAATTCATTAATTCATGATTAATCTTTATTTGGTAATATATTGGCATATTTATACATAATATTTTAACTTACATAAATATGGTAATATGCTTATTTTTGGATCACATTAATTTAGAATTCCCAAACACGCATTGCCCTTGCTCTGCTAACATAAACTCCAAATTTGTCACACAGAGTTTCTTGCATAGAAGAAAAAAATTTAGAAAGATTCTATTGCATTTTTATGCAAACTAGTGATTGATTCACTGCACATGCACACATATATATTACAAAGTATTATAAATTATGTGTATATATAACATTAAAGTTATAAAATAGATATGTATATATCACATTTTATAAATTATATTATTAATAAATGAATAATATAGATACAAATTATGCAATTATACATGAATTTTTATATTGATTGCATAAAATATAATACATAACATATTTTTTGTTACTTTGAGGAATCATGACCAAGTAATTACATAGAAGAATATTAAAATAATAATATTTATTATTATTAGTATTATTATTATATAAATTGTATAAGGAATATTTTCATCGCATTTAAGTTAATTATATGATTAAAAAACTAATATAACCTTTAGAATAAACTATTATAACTTTTCTGATTATTGTAACTTACAAATAACATTTAATGTAAATTCTAATTAGTTGATTTTACTAATAACTATTGTATGATGGAATAATTAATAGAATATGATTACACTTAATTAATATAAAATACAACGGTTTTACCATACATAATTGAAAATTTGGGAGGAAATTTTTTTGTCATTTGCATTAATTTAATAGCAAAAAATTATATAGATAAAAAAAAATTGTACTATCTTTTGGAGGGAAAACTATTGAGGTTTTATTAATTGCTTTGCTAGCAATTACACATATATATATATATATATATATATATATATATATAGATACGGGGCAAGGAAGTTACTTTACATGCAAATTTTACATAAAATTTACACATACAGATTCTATTGCATTTTGATGACTGATGAGTAAAAAAAAGATTCAATGACTATTAGTAACATACACGCCGGCCTATTATTTCCCAATAGATGGAAAACTCTATTTTGTGCTATCAGACGTATAAGCAATAATCTTAGTTTAAAAATATTAGTTTATGAATTGAAATAAATTTCATTTTTTTTCAATTGATTTGCAAAATTATAAATTTTTAATTAATTAATAACTTACTAAAAAAATAGTTATTGAACCATATTTCCCCGCGAGTCACATGGGTTTAACACTAGTTATTAATAATATTTGAATATGTTAAATTTTCATTATCCTAAATTATAAATAGGAACTCTAAAATGACAACTATTTTATATCGAGTGAAATAAACATATAACTCATTTACTTAATTATTATATATTATAAATAAAAGAAAAAAATAATATCAATATTCAAAAGGAATGCGAATGAAGCTATCCTTTTCCTACTAAATTTATGGTATGATCTATATCTTGACGTAGAGCATCTATAATGTATTGGTCTAGTTTTACTTATGTAGTATGTAAATAAATCCAAGTCTAGGTTGACATGGATAAAGCTTAATAAATTTAATTATATTCACTCCAATGCAAAGAGACTAAGGCTCTACTTGGGTCTAAAATATACTTAAGGGGAGATTGATTCTCTTTTTATTGGTGTCACGTCAGCAAGACCCAGTTTACTTGCACTCGCATTGGAGAATATATTTTTTTAGACCGAGTCTAATTCCTAAGTGGCATATGTGCTTTTTTGAACTCAACTGCTATTCACCGCCCCCCTTTTACTAGTCACCGCCCCCCCCCCCATTTACTCTTTTGCCCTTAACTCTTTTTCAGACTCTATCTCTCTAAATTTCCGAACTTCAACGAACGATTCGAGCATCGAAAAAAATCCAAAAAAATGTCGAAAAAATCCTACGGCATCGGCAAAGGACTCTTCTCCAACAAGGTAATTTTTTTTTTTTTACGCTGGCTCGATTTTTTAAATTTATTTTTTGAATCTGACCGGTCGTCCGGCCGTCGTATAAATGCTTATAATAATAATATTATAAGAAATAATAATAATAATTTGTAATGATAATTATAATTAAATATAATAATAATTATAAATTAGTATTAATTATAATAATTTAACTAAAAAATTATAATAACTATTATAAATCTCAACAATTATAATTATAATAATATTTAATAAAATTTATATATGAAAAGGAAAATGAATTATAATCTATTTTAATAGTTATTAGAATAATCATTAGATATGGAAAAATTCAATAATTATATTTCTGATTCAGGGTGTTGGCAGACTTGGACAATCTAATGCCAGGGACCACGACGAGGCGTACGATGACTATTATGATGGTTCTGGCACCCGACACACTAGAAGTCGGGGTGTCAATGCGTCCGTTCGTCGGGAGAGGGACATGGAAAGGCAGGCGTTGATCGATGAGGCTCGGAGGGTACAACTTCGTCAGGCTAGCCAGAGTTCCCGCCCCCCCGCACCAGTGCCAACTGGTCCGCAGGGATATCATTTCGAGGGCCGGCCAGATAGTTCGCGACCCCACGGAGTCCTCCCGTACGGCGAACATGGGTTTTATTATCCTGGCCAAGCGGGCAGTTCGATGCCCCCGACACTAGGACCGTACGATCAGCCGGGATGTGCTTTTCCCCTCTACGCAGGGAAGTCGATACCCCCCCGCGCACGCGTACCATTACCTTATGGTCAGCAGGGTTATGCTGATGATGAGTCGTACGGCGAGAGAGAGCCGGGTCCAGAGGACTATGACTCAGACGACTCTTCATATGATCAGGACCACGCACAGCCTACGGGTCCTAACCACCCTGGTCCTCCTGTACAGCCTGTTCGTCCGGTACAGCCGGTTCTACCGCATGTTCGTTCGGTACAGGCTGTTCGTCCTACACAGGCTGCTCCTCAACGACAGGCTGGGGGGCGTTTTGGCCCATCTGCATCCTCATCAAGTAAATAATTTACGTATTTATTGTTGTTTAACATAAATTATTTTCACTTAATCATAACAAATTATCGGTACTGTTAGAAAAGTATTATCGGCCTGCTCCTCAACTACGGTATAATTATTTTGTAATTTAGATGAACCATACAATTAATTAGTTAGAAAATTATTATAATTATTTTTATTATTGTTATAATCAATTAGTAGTAATGTTACATAATAAATTAGTTTCATTATATTTTATTAATGTAAAACGTAACGTTTGTACAGTAATTGAAAAAAAAAATGGGAAACTTATGAAATATGTTTTCTTAAATATATTTTATTTAATGCATCTGCCAGCAAGTCAATATATACAGATATGTTGTATTTTAATGCAGGTACTAGCAAACGAGTTAGGACCGATGATGGTGCACCCTGAATCGTTAAAGGCCCAGTGCCCGGTGGGCCCATTGATGGGAGTGTCATCCCTAGCTTTCTAGGGCACGTCGCCTCCCGCATGTGGAGTGGGAATTTGAGGGGCCGCT